GGGGGGGGGGGGTGGAAACTAATCTATTTGCTTGAGAACAAGCAAAGACGTAAGTTTAGGGGTGTTAATAAGTATGGATTTTAACCACTTATTAGTACCTTCTTGCTTTAGTTTTTTGTCAAAAGTAGTGATTATTGTTTTTGAATCTATTGAAGTTGTGTGAAATGCAGGCATGTTGTAGGATTCGAGCCCAATGGAGAGGTCTAACTCAAAAAGGAGTGTTCCAGCTCAACAATGCAAAGAGGAATAATGCAAAGGAAAGTGCTATTTGCAGAACTTATTTTGTGGCCGCAGATGGAGAAGCGATTTGCAGAAATTCAAGTACGGCCATAGATGTCCGCAGACTAAATGTTGCGGCCGCAAAAGCTGGTCGCATTGACAAGCCTGAAAAGCTAAGAAAAGCTGCAGAAGACCAAGTGTGAAGTCTCTTGAGAATGCAGTCCGTAGCCAAAATATGCGTCAGTAGAAGCTGAAATGCAGCCGCAAAGATTATTATGTTGATGGAGAATTCCTCTCAGTGCAAGACTAGAAGAAAATGCGCTCCGCACAAAATTGTGCGGCTACAGAATCCCCCGAAGGGCATTTTTGTTAGAAAATTTTTGGATACTATAAATAGACAAGAAACACTTTTTAGGGAAACGTTTTATATTCCAAGTAACTGTTGTGGTTATAGTTTACTACTTTGGGAAAGTTGTGATCAAAATTGGAGAAGACCCACTACTTTTATCTTTTAATTGTAGTTTTATGTGTTCAATCACTTCTTATATTTTATTTCTATCTTTTCAAGGATGAGTAACTAGATTTTATCTAGCGTTGTGACACAACCATATTATGTAAAACTTATGGATTCTTAATATTAATGTTTATTTATGATTTAGTGTTTGTTATTTAACCTTCTTTACACTTTATATCTAGAATTAATGGTTGTAATCATTGATTCATGACTATTTGACTTAGTTCTTACTTGAGAATGAGGAACCTAGTCTAGGAAAACTTGGCTAATAAGAAATTGAGCTGGTTAAGGTTTTGACTAGTTTGATTAAAGGATTTGAACTAGAGACAAGGAAAATCCAACTTGGACTCGTATCAGTTGCTTAGATTCTTACCCATTTGTTCTTGAGAAAATGAATTTGGGTGTAACTACTCTATGCTCGAGCGGTATTGAGTGGGTACTTGAGAATTCAGAGTCATAATGAACCCTGATCTACCAAGCAAGGATTAATCTAATATACTCATTAGGTTTACACCTAGGTGAAGGTTACATCCCTAGGATTTTCCCCTAATTGATTAAAATACAAAAAATATTTCATTCTCTAGTTGCTACTATTTATTTTAATTTCTTAGTTGTCTACTTAGATAACAATCACCCACTATGTTTGAAAGTCTAATTTAGCTATTTCACGTTCTCTTCTTGAGTATTTACTTTAGCATCGATCTAACCTCCATGTGGATTTCGACTCCGACTTATTTTTGGTTTTATAATTGCAACGACCATTTCATACTTGTTATATGAATGTGAACTAGATGTGATCAACAGTCTTTAACCAAAGCCAACATAGTAAAAAATGATCTGAACCCAATCTAAAACACTCGAGCCTCTCAGGACCTCGTCCAAACACACCAACTAATCCCAAAATATAACACGGACATACTCGAGGCCTCAAATCACACAAAACAACATGAAAACTACGAATCACACTTCAATTCAAGCCTATGGAACTAATGAACTTCCAACTTCAAAATCTCAATTCCAACCACATCAAATCAACCCAGAATGAACTTAAATTATGCACACAAGTCCCAAATGACTCAACGGACCTATTCCAACTCTTGGAACCACAATCTGAACCCGATAGAGCTATCAATATGGGCGGAGGCGGGCAAGCCCAGCCTAGCCCATGTGAGATTTAGCAATTGACGGGCTGGGCTAGGCTAGGCTAGACCACCATTTTGATGGGCGTTATAATGGTCAGCCCACCCCATTCCTCTGTACGTTGTGGGGCCCTACGGGCCTGCCCATCATTTTTTAATATAATTTTATATTTTTTTGCTTTAAGTTCTAACCTAAAAAAGATAAATATTTAAAAGTTAAAAAAATCTTATAGAAAATATTTCACAAAACATAATAACTTTTTACACTATTCTAATATATCACAATAAACACTAAAATGTAATAGACAAGACTATAGTTCATTTACTAAAAACCAAAACTCAAAACAGACCATTCAAAAGAATGTCGATGACGCTTGTGGGATATCCAATACATCATCTTGATTAAACATATTTGAATCTTCTTGTGAGAAGGATATCTTAACATTTTCACTTTCATCTACATCACAATTCATATGTAATATTAATTAGTGAAATATTAATAGTAATTAAATTTTAAAAAATAATTAACATTTTAAGACGTTGTTCTTTTTATATAATGAGCTTAATAAACTTTAAGCTTCGGATATTCTACTTGTTATTTTTTGTGTCATATATTTTTTTATATTCTATATATTTTAAATTCATATTTTTATTAGGCCCACGGGCCAGCCAAGCTCATCCTCGGTCAAGCCTCACGGGCCATGGGCTGGGCTTAAAAGCCTCATTTTTAAATGGGCTCCAAAAATTCTAGCCCAACCCTACTAAATCACGGGCTGGACTGCCCTAGAACCCGATATTAACAAAGTCAAACTCCGGTTAATTCTTACTACTTATGTCTTCAACTATGGGACTAAGTGTCCCAATTCAATCAAAAACTTCCCGAAGCTAAACCAGCCAACCCCGCAAGTCACATAACATCAAATTACCATATCTAAAGCATCAAGTAGGGGAAACGAGGCTCAAATACACAAAACAACCGGCCCGTTCTTTATATTATCCCCCTCTTAAACAAACGTTCGTCCTCGAACAGGTCAAGATTCATACCTGGGGGCTCAAAAAGTGAGGATATATGCTTCGCATCTCCTGCTAGGTCTCCCATGTAGCCTTCTAGAATGGTTGACCTCTCCAATTAACCTTCACCGATGCTATATTCTTCGACCTCAACATTCGAACATGTCGGTCCAAAATGCCCATTGGTTCCATATCATAATTCAAACCCCCATCCAACTGCACTGTTCTGAAGTCCAAAACATATGATGGATCCCCATAATACTTCTATAGCATAGAAACATGCAACATCAGGTGAACTCCTGATAAACTGGGTGGCAAGACAAGTCTGTAGGTCACCTCTCCAACTCTCACTAGAACCTCAAAAGGACCAATATACCTAGGGCTCAACTTGCTCTTCTTCCCAAACCTCATCACACCCTTCATGGGAGAAACTCTGAGTAGAACCTTCTCACCCACCATATAAGCCACATCACGATCCTTCATGTCCGTATATCTCTTTTGCTTGGATTGTGATGTAGGAGGCCGCTCATGAATCAACTTCACCTTATCCAAAGTATCACAGACCAAATCAGCGCAAGAAAAACTAACCTCCCCAGGGTCAAACCAACCAACCAGAGAATGACATCGCCTATCATATAAGGCTTCATATGGAGCCATCTGGATCCTTGTCTGATAGTTGTTGTTGTAGGCGAGATCTGCTAGCGGTAGAAACTGATCCCATGATCGCTTGAAATTAATGAGATAGGCTTGTAACATGTCCTCCAATATCCAAATAGTACGCCCAGACTATCCCTCCATCTGGGGATCAAATGTCGTACTCAGCTCGACCTGTGTGCCCAACTTAAGCCTAGCTCCTCTATAAAATTACAATGTGAATTGAGTACCTTGATCCGAGATAATTGACATGGGCACACCATAAAGGTGAAAAATATCACGAATGTAAATCCAAGTCAACTGATATAAGGAGTAGGTAGTCATGACTGGAAGGAAAGTGTGCCGACTTAGTCAGTCTGTCCACAATGACCCAAACTACATTGAATCCCCCCAAGGTCTATGTAAGTCCAACTTCAAAATCTATGGTGATGCGCTCACACTTCCTGTTCGGAATTTCTAGCCTCTAAAGCAAACCACCCATTTCCTAATGCTTGTACTCCACCTGTTGGCAGTTCAAACACCGAGCAACATATTCAACAATATCCCTTTTCATTCTCTGCCACCAGTAGTGCTACCTCAAGTCCAAGTACATCTTTGCGGCACCTTGACGAGTGGAATACTACAAACTTTAGGCCTCCTCAAGCATCAACTCTCGCAACCCATCCAGATTAGGCACACAAATGCGACCCTGAAACCTCAATACCCCATTATAATTAATAGTTAACTCCTTAGCATATTCATGTTGAACTGTGTCCCCCAGGACAAGAAAGTATGGATCATCATACTGACTCGCCTTGATTCTCTCGAACAAGGACGACCATGATATAACACAAGTAAGAACCCTTTTAGCCTCTGAAATATGTATCCTCACGAACTGATTGGCCAAAGCTAGAACATCCAATGGTAATTGTCTCTCCCTAGATGGGATATAAGCAAGACTCCCCATGCTATCAGCCTTCTTACTCAAAGCATCGGCCACCACATTGGCCTTCCCCAGGTGATGAAGAATGGTAATATCATAGTTCTTTAATAGCTCTACCCACCTCTGTTGCCTCAAGTTCAAATACTTTTTCTTGAATAAGTGATGGAGACTCTTGTGATTAAAGAATACTACATAAGACACGCCATACAGATAATTCCTCCAAATCATGAGCGTGTGATAATGGCTGCCAACTCCAAACCGTGTACTAAGTAGTTCTTCTTATGGGTCTTCAACTGACGAAGCATAAACAATCATTCTTCCATTCTACATCAAAACATATCTAATACCAATTTGTGAAGCATCACAATAGACTGTATAAGAGCCCAATCCTAAAAGCAAAACCAGAATTGGAGTTGTAGTTGAAGAACTCTTGAACTTTTGAATGCTCTCCTCACACTCATCAGGCCACCTGAATGGGGCACCCTTCTACGTCAATCTAGCGAATAGGACTATCATAGACGAAAATCCCTCCACAAAACAGCGATAATACCTAATAAACCCAAGGAATCTCCAGATCTCAGTAGTATTATATGGCTTGAGCTACTTATGAACTACGTCCACCTTAATCCCCTCACTGGATACCAAATGACTCAAAATTGCCATCGAGTCTAGCCAAAATTTGTACTTAGAGAATTTAGCATATAGCTTCTTCTTCCTTAATGTTTGGAGTACGATCCTCAAGTGTTTCTCATGTTCATCCCAGTTGTGAGAATACATCTATATATCATAAATGAAAACTATGACAAAGAAATCTAGATCAGGATGAAACACGATGTTAATCAAGTGCATGAAAATTGTTGGAGCATTGATCAACCTAAATGACATCAAAAACTCATAATGACCATAGTGGGTCCAGAAAACAATATTCGGAATGTATGAAGACCTGATCTTCAACTAATGATACCCCGATCTCAAATCAATCTTCAAGAATATACTAGCACTTTGAAGCTGGTGAAAAAACTTATTAATTTGCGATAGTGGATACTTGTTCTTAATAGTAACCTTGTTAAACTGCCTGTAGTCAATGCACATCCTCATAGAACTATCTTTTTGCTTCACAAATAGAATTGAAGCATCCCAAGGTGAAACACTCAGTCGGATAAAACCTTTATAGAGCAACTCCTGAAGTTGTTCCTTCAATTCATTCAACTCCGCTGGGGCCATGTGATATGGTGTAAAAGATATGGGAAGGGTTCCCAACGGCAGATCAATATGAAAATCATAATCTCTGTTGAGTGGCATGCACAGTAAGTTTGCAAGAAACACATTCGGGAACTCCCTCACTACCTGAACTAACTCAATGGTAGGAGTATCAGTACTAACATCTCGCACGAAATCCAAATACGCCAACCGCCCTTCTCAACAATTTTTTGAACATTAAAATATGAGATCATTCTACTTGTAGTATGACCAAGAGAACCTCTCCACTCTAACCTAGGCAACCCTGGCATTTCCAATGTCACGGTCTTAGCATGAGAGTTAAGAATAGCAGGGTACGAAGATAGCCAATCCATGCCCAAAATCACCCCAAAATTAACCATACTAAGCAATAAAGATCAACTCTAGTCTCATAACCCCAGATGGTAACCACCCACGACCTACATACACGATCCACCATAATAGAATCACCTATTGGTATAGATGCATAAATAGGCATATCTAAAGAATCACGAGGAGTATCCAAATAACGAGCAAAGTATGACAACACATATGAATAAGTGGAACAGGGGTCATATAAAATTGAAGCATCCCTATGGCTCACAAAAATAATACTTGTGATCACGGCGTCTGAAGCAACTACCTCTGGCCTGGCAAGAAATACATAACAACGAGCCTGTCCACCACCTGACTGACCTTCCCCTCTAGGGCAAACTCCTCCTGTAAGACCCTTACCCCGAGCTAGTTGAGCGGGTGGTGTATCAAGTGGTGCGGGGGTCGTAAACTAACCTCCATGCTGCAGCGGACCTATGAGAAAATGGGGGAAATACCTCCTCACATGCCCCAACTCCCCATACATGTAGCAACCTTGAACTAGGAATAACTGCGGGGCCTGATTTTGACCCCATGAACCCGAATCACCGTTGGAAGAGCCTGATACTGACGAACCCTAAATTGATAGAGTGCGATAAGAGGTTTGAGCTAAAAGTGCATTGAAGGATGACTGAATTGGACGATTACTTTATGAAATGTGTATACCAAATGAACAATGAGGAATCGAATTAATTGCCTAATCAGGCTTAAAATAACGACCTTTGTTGTGATGTGATTGACCTCCAAAATAGGTACGACCAAAAACACCCAAACTACGAGGCCTCTTGCCCTCTCGCTCTTCTCGCTCAAGCATGGGAACATGCTCCAAGAGCCTAGAAATCTCAACCAGCTGGTCAAACCTAGCATCCATCTCGGTCTCTCGAGCCAAACTGTAATGTAGACCATAGTTAAGGCTATCAATGAACCTCCTAATCCTCTCCCTCTCAATGGGAACCAACCATACTTCATGATGCTCTAAATCTGCATCTCATCTCTTAATGGGTCATGGTCATATCTCTCTAGTGTAGCTGCTAAAACTCCACACACAACTTTTTTCCACGATTATATGGGTCAAATATCTCTAAGAAGAGAACTGATGCCATGTAAGTAATGATGCACCAGCTAGCTTGCCTGACTCATAGGTCTGCCACCATTTATTAGTAAAGGCAACTCTACTACTATCCATAATACCCGATATGCAATGAATGTGATGACACCGATCTAGAAAGCCCTAAGCATCCTCTTCCTCTACTAAAATTGAGAGGATGAAGCCTCTAAAATTGCTTCAACCTCTTCTACTCCTCATCTATCATAGATGGACCCGCCTCAGCTCGAGTAGCAATAACTGGCTGGACCGGCAACACCCCTGGTGTTTCATAATCCTAATCTAGTTTCTCTGGTGTATGGGCGACAAGAGTCTGGGCTCCTCCCCTAGCCTCTGAGGTAGCTAGTAAAACTGGTATCATGCCAGCCTGAGCCAAGCTCGTGTACACACTTAAGATCCGAGCCAAAGTCTCTTGATGACCAAGTATAATAATAGGTATTGCTGGTGTTTGAGTTGGTCCCAGCGGCACAACAATGTTCGTAATCTGCTTCTCTACCGGAGCAACTAGTGGCTCCATAAGTGTTGCTCTAGCTTTAGTGCAAGCCCTATATCGTCCCAAACTCTTGCGGCCTTGACTAGTGGCACTAGTGCCTACTCACTCGATCCGGCTAAATGTGTCCTCATCATATGTGAGAGAATACAAGAGTAAATATTCAAACCTCGAAATTAACAATTCTGCACGACAAAAATGAAAGAAAGTAAAGTTTCCTAGCAATTCGAGAGCCTCTCAAAAATAAGTATAAACATCTCTATACTGATCCACAAGACTCTACTAAACTTGCTCACGAATCCAGAGACCTAGGCAACCTAGTATGCAAATACCAACTTTTCACGACCCAAACTCCCATCGAAGCCGTGATGGCACCTACCACCGCTTGCTAGGCAATCTAATAACTAAAGAATAGCAACACTCACAATAATAGGACTAATTAATCTCAACAATGGGGAAATCATATTAATATTTGAGATAACAACAATAACATCACTAAAACCATCCCATAATCTAGTGTCAATGAGTACATAAGCACTATCAAATCGCAAAATACATATTCAATATGCAATACAAAACGGTGTTAATAATAGAACAGTGATAACAAAATAAACCAAAAGAGAACTTCTAGGTCTGTGAATGACATAGCAGCTATCTTGTAGTCTCCACAAGTTGATACTAGCGCAAACCTCTAGAAATCACCACGCTTGGAAGTGCCTAGATCTGTGCATAAAGCATAGAGTGTAGTATGAGTAAAAATGACCTCGTATACTCAATAACAAGCAACCTCGGGCTTAAAGCGGTGAAGAACTCGGAAGAAAGTTAGGGTCAAACACCAATAATAAATAACAACTCATAATGTAATCAAAACAGTGAAAGTAAATAACTCAAGAGAT